ACTTGTTCTTGATGTACTTGTTTTTGGTGTACTTGTTCTTGGTGTACTTGTTCATGATGTACTTGTTCTTGTACTTGTTCTTGATGTACTTCTTCTTGATGTACTTGTTCTTTATGTACTTGTTCTTGGTGTACTTGTTCTTGATGTACTTGTTCTTGATGTACTTGTTCTTGATGTACTTGTTCTTGATGTACTTGTTCTTGATGTACTTGTTTTTGGTGTACTTGTTTTTGGTGTACTTGTTCTTGATGTACTTGTTCTTGATGTACTTGTTCTTGATGTACTTGTTCTTGATGTACTTGTTCTTGATGTACTTGTTTTTGGTGTACTTGTTTTTGGTGTACTTGTTCTTGATGTACTTGTTCTTGATGTACTTGTTCTTTATGTACTTGTTTTTGGTGTACTTGTTCTTGATTTACTTGTTTTTGGTGTACTTGTTTTTGGTGTACTTGTTCTTGATGTACTTGTTCTTGATGTACTTGTTCTTGATGTACTTGTTTTTGGTGTACTTGTTTTTGGTGTACTTGTTCTTGATGTACTTGTTTTTGGTGTACTTGTTCTTGATGTACTTGTTCTCGATGTACTTGTTCTTGGTGTACTTGTTCTTGGTGTACTTGTTCTTGATGTACTTGTTCTTGGTGTACTTTGTTCTTGGTGTACTTGTTCTTGGTGTACTTGTTCTTGGTGTTCTTGTTCTTGGTGTACTTGTCCTTGATGAACTTTTTCTTGGTGTACTTCGTTCTTGGTGTACTTGTTTTTGATGTACTTGTTCCTGGTGTACTTGTTCTTGGTGTACTTGTCCTTGATGTACTTGTTCTTGGTGCACTTGTTCTTGGCGTTCTTCTTCTTGGTGTACTTGTTCTTGATGTACTTGTTCTTGGTGTACTTTGTTCTTGGTGTACTTGTTCTAGGTGTTCTTGTTCTTGGTGTACTTGTCCTTGATGAACTTTTTCTTGGTGTACTTCGTTCTTGGTGTACTTGTTTTTGATGTACTTGTTCCTGGTGTACTTGTTCTTGGTGTACTTGTTCTTGGTGTACTTGTTGTCGGTGTACTTGTTCTTGGTGTACTTGTTCTTGGTGTACTTGTCCTTGATGTACTTGTTCTTGGTGTACTTGTTCTTGGTGTACTTGTTCTTGGTGTACTTGTCCTTGATGTACTTGTTCTTGGTGTACTTTGCTCTTGGTGTACTTGTTCTTGATGTACTTGTCCTTGATGTACTTGTTCTTGGTGTACTTTGCTCTTGGTGTACTTGTCCTTGATGTACTTGTTCTTGGTGTACTTGTTCTTGGTGTACTTTGTTCTTGGTGTACTTGTTCTTTGTGTACTTGTCCTTGATGTTCTTGTTCTTGGTGTACTTTGTTCTTGGTGTACTTTTTCTTGATGTACTTGTTCTTGGTGTACTTGTTCTTGGTGTACTTTTTCTTGGTGTACTTTTTCTTGGTGTACTTGTTCTTGGTGTACTTGTTCTTGGTGTACTTTTTCTTGGTGTACTTTTTCTTGGTGTACTTGTTCTTGGTGTACTTGTTCTTGGTGTACTTGTTCTTGATGTACTTTGTTCTTGGTGTACTTGTTCTTGGTGCACTTGTTCTTGATGTACTTGTTCTTGGTGTACTTGTTCTTGATGTACTTTGTTCTTGATGTGCTTGTTCTTGGTGTACTTGCACTTCTGCAGTACCGTTTACCTGGCCTCTGACAGGTACCACTGTGGTACACAGGTCAGTATTCATGCCTGTGGACCGAGGCAAGATACACTGTGCATAGGAACATTAGAGAGGAGGAACACTACAGCAGGCCTACTGGCCCATACTAGACAGGTCCTTCTCAGACACAAACCCACTAAGAGAAGTATTCGCCCAACCCATTATCATTGTTACCCAGGGAATGACCTTTGATAACTGTTATCACCTCAAGTGGGAGTCCCACTACACCCACGCAACTCTGCACTAAAAATATGTAATGGACGATTTTGGGGGCTGTGGATCATTTAGCCACCAGGCCCGGTGGCCTGGTGGCTAAAGCTCCCGCTTCACACACGGAGGGCCCGGGTTCGATTCCCGGCAGGTGGAAACATTCGACACGTTTCCTTACACCTGTTGTCCTGTTCACCTAGCAGCAAATAGGTACCTGGGTGTTAGTCGACTGGTGTGGGTCGCATCCTGGGGGACAAGATTAAGGACCACAATGGAAATAAGTTAGACAGTCCTCGATGACGCACTGACTTTCTTTGGTTATCCTGGGTGGCTAACCCTCCGGGGTTAAAAATCCGAACGAAATCCTATCCTAACCAAATCGTAATGACACGATTGTACACAAACCATACCACAGGTGGGGTTAGATGGATGAATCGTGTTGTAGCCAGCTGGCCCAGTGGCTAAAGCGTCGGTCTGGAGTTTTATGACTCTGTGATCGCGGATTCTAACCCCGCCCGTGGTATGGTTTGTTTTTTATTTATCTAAATTCTGCCAATATTTTTTTGTGAGAGTATTGGCAACTGTTTTATACGTTGTATTATAGTTTCGTAACGACTAGCCAAAAATTATGCAATATATTTTTTGATGTGGCACCACTGCTTTATTAACAGTGACAGAAGCAGTGACAACCACAAAAGTGCTTTTGTTACTCTTGTAAATTGTTAAGATAAGATAAGATAAGATTTCGTTCGGATTTTTAACCCCGGAGGGTTAGCCACCCAGGATAACCAAAGAAAGTCAGTGCGTCATCGAGGACTGTCTAACTTATTTCCATTGTGGTCCTTAATCTTGTCCCCCAGGATGCGACCCACACCAGTCGACTAACACCCAGGTACCTATTTGCTGCTAGGTGAACAGGACAACAGGTGTAAGGAAACGTGTCGGAATGTTTCCACCCGCCGGGAATCGAACCCGGGCCCTCCGTGTGTGAAGCGGGAGCTTTAGCCACCAGGCCACCGGGCCACACAAAAATCAATCATTATTATTGTAAATTTAATGAAGTTATATAACAATACACCTTGTGGCTTAGCGCTTCTTTTTGGTTATAATAATAATATATAACAATACAATGACAAAAATTTACTGTATGATGTATTTACTGTCACCCCTCGAAGAAATTATGTGGGAAAGTTGGGATATTTTTTGGCTCAGAATTTCACCCCTCCCTTTCAGAAAATTAAAAAAAATTAAGACTGTTTCTATATTTTACTCTTTTTAAAACCATAACTCTTCAACATATATTGTAAAAATTGCTAAAAATCGGCTCATAAATGATAAATCGTCGTTAAGGAATAACAAAATAAATGAGGAAATTTATGTAACTGTATTTAAGTTCCCCCAGAAAGACGCCGACGTTTTCTTCCTTGTCAGCAAGAGAAAACTGCTGTTATTGTACACGGTCAGACTAGCATAATTTTGCTTCCTGGATAAGCGATAAGATTTTGTTGGGATTTTTAACCACGGAGGGTTAGCCACCCAGGATAACCCAAGAAAGTCAGTGCATCTTCGAGAGACGGTCTGTCTTTCTCTTGTTTTCATTGGGGTCATCAGTTTTGTACCCCAGGATGCGACTCACACCAGTCGACTAACACCCAGGTCCCTATATGTTCAACCCAGGTCCCTACTTGCTAGGTGAACAAGACAACAGGTATAAGGAAATACTCCCAGTGTTTGTACCCTTGCCGGGGATCTCACCACGGACGCTCAGTGTGTGAAGCGAGAGCGTTGCCTACCAGGCCACTGGACACCCCCTATTATTTTTTAATATTTAGATTAATTTGGCTTTCTGCGTCGCTTTCAAATGTTCTTAGAGTGTCTTACTAAATATTTCCGGAAAGGCTTTCATAAAAGACATCAACGAAAGCGTTAGAAAGAGGCTAGAACAGCTACAGTGGCAGAGCATGACACCCGCCTGCGCCAGCATAAATCACATTTGAGTGACTAGGTTAGGTTTGTCAGGAAACGACGAGTGTTTCTTGACGTGGGTCTTAGTCATATGATGACCCGCCATTGGAGCTTTTGGTCATCTGACCGAGGCCTTCTGCTGGCTTACCCCCTCCACCCCTTTAAAAATTAAGGTTATATAACCACCATTATGAGGATTGTGACAACGGTCCACCACTGTGCTTCTAGCAGCATGATGCCACATGTTGATTTTAATGAAGGTAATGAATAAAATATAAAATGGCAAAAGACAAACAAAAATTCACCAATTATGCATATACATGACATGTTATAATTATAACATCATGACATCGCGTCATGATAACTTCATGACATCATGTCATAATTATAACCAAAATATTGCCAGATTTCTCAGTACACTCTGGCCATTTTCCATTTTTAAAGGTTTATACATGTGAGCTACCAAGCCTGATACTAGCACTCTGAGGGAGCACATAGTCATACACGAGCAGGACATCATATTGTAACGAAGTGATCTCAGAAATTATTTAAGGTTATATCATAAAGGAATGTGGAGATTTGTATGTATGTATTTGAGAAAGAAACAACTGTATAGGAAGATAGTCACTACTCCAATAGTCAGACTACAACTATTAAAACATATTAAAATAAGTACAACCGCTACAACTCCCAGATTACAACAACTCCCAGATAACTACAACTACTCCACCTTGTAGATAACTACAATTATGTTATGCTACTAGAATATGCAAATTATATATAAAAATATGCAAGCTGAAACTTAGGCTAAAGCATAGGCTATATTTTTTTGGTGAAAGATGTCGGCAGAATGAGGATGTCAGAAAGGGCAGGAGCAGAGGTAGGATGTTAGCATTTTGATGCCAGAAGTGATGCTCAAGGAAGATTACCAGGAGGAGACATCGTCATGACATCAGGAGCTAGTTAAGTCATCAAAGACAGAACATTCAGTTCATAGTTGTCAGGAGAATAACAGCATTAAGCGAGGCATTCAGCAGAACACCGTCAAGATGATCAGCAGGTAAAGAAGAAGGCAGAGTCTCCCAGAGGAGGATTTTTTAAGACCACTAAAGGATGAGTCTTACCCAGTGGTCCTCCCAGATGCCCGTGACAACAGCTGGACCAAATGTTCGGGCTGGGTTCATCGACGCTCCAGTGATGGGAACCTGAAAAACACACACACAACAGTCAATACTGGTAGCACTAACAATACTAGTGCTACTGACAACACTAGTGGCAGTGTCTGTGGAGTCATATAGGCAATACTGGTGGGAGTGATAACACTGGTGACAGTACAACACTGGTGACAGTACAGCACTGGTGACAGTACAACACTGGTGACAGTACAGCACTGGTGACAGTACAACACTGGTGACAGTACAGCACTGGTGACAGTACAATATAATATTAAAATTTATAACAAAATAACATAAGCACAATCAGAACTTAGTTAACCATAAAATTTTCTTAATCTTAGAATAGCTTATTTTGCTATAATAATTTAGTTAGCCATAGTGAAAATAGTTAACCACAATTAAATATGAAAGTAGATATAGAAAGGTATATGTGCTTGGAGAGCACTAAACTCGTAGGGGAGGAAATCAGATTCGATCCAAGGGTTATTACAATGTTGGGTGTGGTGACAGGTGCAGAAACAAGTGTAGTAACAGGTATAATAATTGTAGTAACAAGTATAATAATGTATCATAACGTGTAATAACAGGTATAGTAACAAGTGTAGTAACAGGTGTAGTAACAAATATAATAACGTATAGTAACGTGTAATAACAGGTATAGTAACAAGTGTAGTAACAGGTGTAGTAACAAGTATAATAACGTATAGTAACGTGTAATAACAGGTATAGTAACAAGTGTAGTAGCAGGTGTAATAACAAGTATAATAACGTATAGTAACGTGTAATAACAGGTATAGTAACAAGTGTAGTAACAGGTGTAGTAACAAGTATAATAACGTATAGTAACGTGTAATAACAGGTATAGTAACAAGTGTAGTAGCAGGTGTAATAACAAGTATAATAACGTATAGTAACGTGTAATAACAGGTATAGTAACAAGTGTAGTAACAGGTGTAGTAATAAGTATAATAACGTATAGTAACGTGTAATAACAGGTATAGTAACAAGTGTAGTAACAGGTGTAGTAACAAGTATAATAACGTATAGTAACGTGTAATAACAGGTATAGTAACAAGTGTAGTAACAGGTGTAGTAACAAGTATAATAACGTATAGTAACGTGTAATAACAGGTATAATAACAAGTGTAATAACAGGTGTAACAAGAAGTATAAGACAAGTAGCACTCACAGCAACGAGGTGACCAGCAGTAATGGAGAGGCCTATGGCCAGGGGTGCTGAGCCCTTCACGTCAGTCCTCCTCTCGTCACACACACCAAACACCGTTAGTACCAGGACGAAGGTGATAATCAGCTCGATGCCCAGCGCTTGTCCTGTGTTCACACCGGTGGCGATGGTGGTCATGCCAAGGCTGCCACGGTTCGCCTCTGGTGCCACACCCTGCATCAACACACACGCACACCAGTTACTCCATTGTTCATCAACCACAGTGAACAAATATAAATAAATTACAAATACCATTTATTATTATTACTACCACTTCTGTTGTAACTATTACTACTACTACTCTTATAATTATTACTACCGTTACTACTACTACTACTACTGCTGTAGTAATAATAATACATTGATGACATCCTGAAGGAACACAGTATATTACGACAGTACACTGATAATATATTGAAGGATCACACTATATTAATATAGCAGTATTGGGTATATGATATAATGCTCAGTAATAACCTACGTAGAGAAAAGCTCGGAAGATTAATTAGTTTGTATATGTCAGTCCCCTTCTGGATCCTCTTCAGAAGGGGATCGAAATACACAGATCAATTAATCTGAGTTTCTTTGTCCGTGTTGGATACTAGTTATCCACATTGTAGTGTTGTAGAGCGGATCCTAGGTACAGTGACCACACACATCCACTACCTCACAGAACACACAGACAAACGCATCAAACACTCGGAGAATGAAATATCAACACAGTAAGAGGTAAAGCACGTCCAAGTACCTATTTACTGCCAGGTGAAGACGGGTAGCAGGTGGTTAGGAGGCTTGCCAGCCAGTACCTTCCACCTCGCCCAGGATTGAACCCGGGGTCTTGGGTTGTGGTACGAAGTTGACTGCCCCGATGTGACTAGAATTTAGGTATGGGATTTCTTCCTCCTGCCACACATCTGAAGATGGTCTTAGATTTTTGCTCTTGCTACGCTGCACTATCATTGGAATAGTTTAACCCAACTGCTAATAAAGAATTCTTTAAACTTATACTAATTGTCAATTGATGAGGGTTCAGAACGAACAGAAATGACTAGTTTCCTCTCTCTCTCTCTCTCTCTCTCTCTCTCTCTCTCTCTCTATTTTGTAAGTATTACTAGTAAGTATTGTGCTTGGTAATGATTCTAACAGTGAGAATGACACATAGATGCAGTGGTTACTTTATAATTCACAATTGCATCTATCTGATGGATGCCTGAAGCATCCTAGTAAATGATTGAGAAATTCGAGAAGAATGTTTACAAGAGTCACCCCCATCACCCCAGCTTCCCGGTCCCAGACCAGTTCTAGTTACTCCACCTTTGTTCGTGTTCAGCGTCAATTTCAATTTCCAGGACTGCAACGTTCGCACACAACTTGGTAAATGACTCTTAAATGAGGCTGCAGTGTGTGTGTTGCTCACGGTGTCAGGGTGCAGGAACACTACTTTTGGTTGCAGTGTGTTACCCACAGTGTCATTGTTGCAGGAACACTGTACTGTTGGTTGCAGTGTGTTACCCACACTGTCATTGTTGCAGGAACACTGTACTGTTGGTTGCAGTGTGTTACCCACACTGTCATTGTTGCAGGAACACTGTACTGTTGGTTGCAGTGTGTTACCCACAGTGTCATTGTTGCAGGAACACTGTACTGTTGGTTGCAGTGTGTTACCCACACTGTCATTGTTGCAGGAACACTGTGCTGTTGGTTGCAGTGTGTTACCCACACTGTCATTGTTGCAGGAACACTGTACTTTTGGTTGCAGTGTGTTACCCACAGTGTCATTGTTGCAGGAACACTGTACTGTTGGTTGCAGTGTGTTACCCACACTGTCATTGTTGCAGGAACACTGTACTGTTGGTTGCAGTGTGTTACCCACAGTGTCATTGTTGCAGGAACACTGTACTGTTGGTTGCAGTGTGTTACCCACAGTGTCATTGTTGCAGGAACACTGTACTGTTGGTTGCAGTGTGTTACCCACAGTGTCATTGTTGCAGGAACACTGTACTGTTGGTTGCAGTGTGTTACCCACAAGTGTCATTGTTGCAGGAACACTGTACTGTTGGTTGCAGTGTGTTACCCACAAGTGTCATTGTTGCAGGAACACTGTACTGTTGGTTGCAGTGTGTTACCCACAGTGTCATTGTTGCGGGAAAACACTGTACTGTTGGTTGCAGTGTGTTACCCACAGTGTCATTGTTGCAGGAACACTGTACTGTTGGTTGCAGTGTGTTACCCACAGTGTCATTGTTGCAGGAACACTGTACTGTTGGTTGCAGTGTGTACCCACAGTGTCATTGTTGCAGGAACACTGTACTGTTGGTTGCAGTGTGTTACCCACAAGTGTCATTGTGCAGGAACACTGTACTGTTGGTTGCAGTGTGTTACCCACAAGTGTCATTGTTGCAGGAACACTGTACTGTTGGTTGCAGTGTGTTACCCACAGTGTCATTGTTGCAGGAACACTGTACTGTTGGTTGCAGTGTGTTACCCACAGTGTCATTGTTGCAGGAACACTGTACTGTTGGTTGCAGTGTGTTACCCACAGTGTCATTGTTGCAGGAACACTGTGTACTGGTGTTGATAATGTGGAGGTTGTGGGTTGCCTCTGGGTCCTCCTGAATGAAAGGTAATTACATTGCTGGGAGACAATAACAAGGTTCACTGTGAAGGCTCTGTTGGTCTTCCTGGAAGGAAGAACTGGAACCCTCGCGTCACCAGGTGAACCTTTTGAGGTTTTTAATAAGTTCCAGGAGCTTCTGGAAGCTTAGAATGTAACTCTCTCTCTCTCTCTCTGTTACACATATTGCACTTTAAAGGGGTCCACGAGCTGAGACTTGACCCGAACATCCATAACTGGGTGAGAACAGGTGAACTCCCTCCCCCTCCCATCAGACAAAATATAACTCAGTTGTAGATCATTCAGCTCACAAACAAAAGAACCCGGATTCAATACAGGGACGAGGCCAGACTTATGAGCAAGACTACACTTACTACCTCCTCCTGTCACCTAACACTAACTAGGCACCTGGGTGTCAGTTCACTGGTATAGGTCGCATCATGGGGAGGAGGTAAGTTTATTTAGACACAGGTACACTTAAGTACAATTATCATTCCCAAGTGTAACCCAACAAAAGCGAGACATAAAGTGACTTTCTGAGGGTTGTCATGGATTACCTGGCCTCCTGGGTTACCTGGCCTCCTGGGTTACCTGCCCTCCTGGGTTACCTGCCCTCCTCCTGGGTTACCTGCCCTCCTCCTGGGTTACCTGCCCTCCTCCTGGGTTACTAACACTACTCACAATACAACATTACATCAGTATGAAAAATGACGTACATTGGAACGTGGTACATTGTCGGGCAGGGTAGCACAGTGATAGTAACCACCCACAGTGTGTATTTACACTGCTCGGTAGTCCATTGTGAGCCGCAGCACCTGACAATGCTGTAGTTAACAAAGTCATTACCGGCCCCTTGTTATTACCGTCGGGATAATGATTTACCGGAGTACTCCACACTTAAATGTGTCCGAGAGTGTTGTCGAACCTCTCTCTCTCTCTATACACTCAGGATTCCTCTGTGTGATTATTGTCATCACGGAGGAGCGGTGAAACCGCAGGGGCGTGGGAATGGGAGGTCATGAGGGTTGATTCAAGGGACAGGCGTAGCTCTGGGTCTTCGGATGGAGAGGGCGAGGTACTGGTATGGTGTGTCAGTATAAGTAGATGGGCGAAACAAGCGTGCCACACTTGGGTATCTTTGCTGTCGAAACGTTTCGCCTGCTCAGTAGGCTTCTTCAGTCGAAGGCAGCAGAAACAATGGGGAGGTCTGTCAAGTCTTGTAGTAGTAAGTTGAGGTGGTCAGTCCCTCTGCTTAGAGTAGTAATTGTGAGGTGATCAGTCCTGTCAGTCTTGAAATAGTTTTGAGGTGATCAGTCCCTCAGTCTTGAAGAAATGTTCTGCGCCATAGCCTCGATCAGTGTGAAGCTGAAGCCTAAGAATGAAGCTTTTTCAGTGCAAGAAGCTATTCTCACAGCTCAACTTGACACTGATCACAGGGTAGTCCAGGAGCTCTGAGACTACAAGCATCACAGAGTAGTCCTGAAGGTCTGACTGGCTGTTTCATTTCAGATAACCTTCAGACTACCTGAAGACACTTTTGCTTCTCAGACGCCTTCCGGTTGATGACCTCGATCAACCAGGCTGTCAACCACATCTCAGAGAAGCAAACAGTATTAAGCGACATGAGAGTAACCAGTGTTTACCGGCAGTGACGTGACGTCAAGGGTGAAGTAATTCGTTGCCCGAGGTAAGGTAATTCGTTGCCAGAGTTCGTTAAGGCTCCCTGGATGGTCTGGGGATTTCCAGGAGACCTGACCCACTCTACACACTGCTCCATAGGCTAGATTTTCCTTGTCTTACTTCTTGATTATTTGTTGATAGCAATACCTGTCCCTGCTCATGGTACCCATTTTGACTGTGTTGGTATCGTGGTTCCCTTCTGACTGTGTTGGTATCGTGGTTCCCTTCTGACTGTGTTGATATCGTGGTTCCCTTCTGACTGTGTTGGTATCGTGGTTCCCTTCTGTGTTGGTATCGTAGTTCCCTTCTGTGTTGGTATCGTGGTTCCCTTCTGACTGTGTTGGTATCGTGGTTCCCTTCTGTGTTGGTATCATGGTTCCCTTCTGTGTTGGTATCATGGTACCCTTCTGACTGTGTTGGTATCATGGTTCCCTTCTGTGTTGGTATCATGGTTCCCTTCTGTGTTGGTATCATGGTACCCTTTGACTGTGTTGGTATCATGGTTCCCTTCTGTGTTGGTATCATGGTTCCCTTCTGTGTTGGTATCATGGTACCCTTCTGACTGTGTTGGTATCATGGTTCCCTTCTGTGTTGGTATCATGGTTCCCTTCTGTGTTGGTATCATGGTACCCTTTGACTGTGTTGGTATCATGGTTACCTTCTGTGTGTGATGGTACCATGGTACTCTTCTGAAGGACTGAAGTCTTCTCCAGGCTGAGGGACTGACCACCTCAAATACTGTTTCTCCAAGGTTGATGGACTAATTATGTGACTGAAGAAGGTTACTGTGTAGGCGAAACCTTTCATCAATAAAGATACCTAACTGCTATATCATTTTCGACACCTAAATAGTACTCAGGTGCTAGTCATGCTGTAGGTGACCGCAGGCAGTAGGTGTAATGAGGCTGACCTGTGAATCTCGCTCCTCGCAACAAACCCCGCACTTAGGCTGAGCTTATTGCGATGACGACTTGCTTTGCCCGGGGATCGAACCTGGGACCCTTCGGTTGTGAGCCGAACACGTTGATACAGTGTTGCCAGAGCTGTCTTGGCAGCGGGAAACCTCTCTAGATGACGCTTATGTTGTCACTGCCCTCAGATCTGGCAACACTTCCAGTCGCATGTCACTGTCCTCAATCCTGGCAACACTGCCAGTCACTTGTCACTGCCGTCACTCGTAGCAACATTGCCAGTCACTTGTCACTGCCGTCACTCGTAGCAACACTGCCAGTCACTTGTCACTGCCGTCACTCGTAGCAACACTGCCAGTCACTTGTCACTGCCTTCACTCGTAGCAACACTGCCAGTCACTTGTCACTGTCCTTCATTTCACTAAATGGACTCTTGTTATTTCATCTCTTTCTCCTTCCTCATAAAAGTTCTCGTTCATGTCCTCGCCGTTGCAGTTTGGTTCTTACCTTGAGAATAGCGGCACCAGCGAGGCCTCCTAGGCACTGGGCCACGATGTAGCAGAGTGCTCTAACCACGGAGATATAGCGGGCCACCAGCATGCCACAGGTCACTGCCGGGTTGATGTGGCACCCGGACACATGCCCCACAGCCTGCACGGAAGGATACATACACCAGTCAGTCACATATAATACAAAACAGTGAAGTAAATATCGTCAGAACGTTGGAACGCTGTCTGGCGGGTCCAGCTGGACGGGTCCAGCTAAGGTCTAACCATGCCGAGTCCGTGTGTGTGTGTGTGTGTGTGTGTGTGTGTGTGTGTGTGTGTGTGTGTGTGTGTGTGTGTGTGTGTGTGTGTAGCAGACAGTCAGGATTATATCAAAATATATCCAAGGAAAGACTGGTATATGATTGTGTATGTTGGGGTGGTGGTGTTGCTACGGTATGAGGGAGAATTGTTGGGGTGGTGGTGTTGCTACGGTATGAGGGAGAATTGTTGGGGTGGTGGTGTTGCTACGGTATGAGGGAGAATTGTTGGGGTGGTGGTGTTGCTACGGTATGAGGGAGAATTGTTGGGGTGGTGGTGTTGCTACGGTATGAAGGAGAATTGTTGGGGTGGTGGTGTTGCTACGGTATGAAGGAGAATTGTTGGGGTGGTGGTGTTGCTACGGTATGAAGGAGAATTGTTGGGGTGGTGGTGTTGCTACGGTATGAAGGAGAATTGTTGGGGTGGTGGTGTTGCTACGGTATGAAGGAGAATTGTTGGGGTGGTGGTGGTGTTGCTACGGTATGAAGGAGAATTGTTGGGGTGGTGGTGTTGCTACGGTATGAAGGAGAATTGTTGGGGTGGTTGGTGTTGCTACGGTATGAAGGAGAATTGTTGGGGTGGTGGTGGTGTTGCTACGGTATGAAGGAGAATTGTTGGGGTGGTGGTGGTGTTGCTACGGTATGAAGGAGAATTGTTGGGGTGGTGGTGGTGTTGCTACGGTATGAAGGAGAATTGTTGGGGTGGTGGTGTTGCTACGGTATGAAGGAGAATTGTTGGGGTGGTGGTGGTGTTGCTACGGTATGAAGGAGAATTGTTGGGGTGGTGGTGTTGCTACGGTATGAAGGAGAATTGTTGGGGTGGTGGTGGTGTTGCTACGGTATGAGGGAGAATTGTTGGGGTGGTGGTGTTGCTACGGTATGAAGGAGAATTGTTGGGGTGGTGGTGTTGCTACGGTATGAAGGAGAATTGTTGGGGTGGTGGTGTTGCTACGGTATGAAGGAGAATTGTTGGGGTGGTGGTGTTGCTACGGTATGAAGGAGAATTGTTGGGGTGGTGGTGTTGCTACGGTATGAAGGAGAATTGTTGGGGTGGTGGTGTTGCTACGGTATGAAGGAGAATTGTTGGGGTGGTGGTGGTGTTGCTACGGTATGAGGGAGAATTGTTGGGGTGGTGGTGTTGCTACGGTATGAAGGAGAATTGTTGGGGTGGTGGTGGTGTTGCTACGGTATGAGGGAGAATTGTTGGGGTTGATGTTGGCTTTAGTGCTTGTTGTCGTTGTCGTTGTCGTTGTTGTCATACTTAAACAAGTTGATTATTTGTTGTGTTTGCTATGATAGTTGATGTAGTTATGTAGGGTAGTAGCTAGTTTATTGTGCACCGCATGCCCATGCTGTGGAGGGCACCGCAACATGGGTACACAACATATACATACAGTGACGTATCAGTTAGGAGGAAGAGATACATGATTATATACACCTGGAAAATCCTAGAGTGACTAGTACCGAACTTGCACACGAAAATCACTCACTACGAAAGCAAAAGACTTGGCAGACGATGCAACATCCCCCCAATGAAAAGCAGGGGTGTCACTAGCACGTTAAGAGACCATACAATAAGTGTCAGGGGCCCGAGACTGTTCAACTGCCTCCCAGCACACATAAGGGGGATTACCAACAGACCCCTGGCAGTCTTCAAGCTGGCACTGGACAAGCACCTAAAGTCGGTTCCGGATCAGCCGGGCTGTGGCTCGTACGTTGGTTTGCGTGCAGCCAGCAGCAACAGCCTGGTTGATCAGGCTCTGATCCACCAGGAGGCATGGTCACAGACCGGGCCGCGGGGGCGTTGACCCCCGGAACTCTCTCCAGGTAAACTCTCCAGGTAGTGTTTATGTTGGTCAGTGAGTGGAGAACCACGCACATAGTATTTAAGAAAGTGATCAGACCCTGATCCACCAGGAGGCCTGGTCCCAGACCAAACCGCGGGGGCGTTGACCCCCGAAACCCCTCTCCAGGTAGACATTAATGTACTTAACTTGGGATATTTTATTACTAACAGTTCAGCCAGAAATTTCACCCCAGTAAGAGAATTACTGGTGATGAATTACCATTCTTGTACTACTACTACTACTACTACTACTACTACTACTACTACTACTACTACCACCACCACCTCTTCCTGCCTATATATAGCCGTCCTGCTCCACTTCTGGTTAGTGTGACTTTGTCAATGATCCAAGTCGGACCGAAACGTCGTCGTAAGCTTCTCTCTTTTATGTGCGGGTTATTTGTGTATCGTTCCAGTCACTGTATTGTGCCTTTTTGTTATTTATTGATGAATTACCCCTTTTGAAGACCATTTAGATATGTTATGTTAAATGAAGATAGCCTCCATGCAGGGGTTAAAATGCTCTCGTAGTCTACAGTGATAATAACAATAATTCGTGCTAAGCGTTGAGCTCACGTGGTGGAAGCTCGATCCTCCGTCTGCTGAGCGACAGACAGACGTGCTTCGTATTTGTGCTTCCTACCTACCTGCCACACTGCTACAGGTACTGTAGCGTTAGGTTACTCAATTTTATATTTTCACAGTCTACTTGGGTCATTGTTTACCTCCGGAGATTTATTGAGATGTGTAGTGTGTCCGGTTCCCTTCTTAAGATGCTAATACCAAGTACAGTGTTAATATTAAGAAGTATATCACTGATACTAGGATTACCATGCTCCTCCCTTCTTCCCTCCCTTCTTCCCTCCCTTCTTCCCTCCCTGCTTCCCTTCCTGCTTCCCTTCCTGCTTCCCTTCCTGCTTCCCTTCCTGCTTCCCTCCCTGCTTCCCTCCCTGCTTCCCTCCCTTCTTCCCTCCCTTCTTCCCTCCCTTCTTCCCTCCCTTATTCCCTCCCTTATTCCCTCCCTTCTTCCCTCCCTTCTTCCCTCCCTTCTTCCCTCCCTGCTTCCCTGATAAGCAGGTGTTAAGGCCACATCACAGGTAGACTCAACACTGGTACCCACAGGTAGACTCAACACTGGTACCCACAGGTAGACTCAACACTGGTACCCACAGGTAGACTCAACACTGGTACCCACAGGTAGACTCAACACTGGTACCCACAGGTAGACTCAACACTGGTACCCACAGGTAGACTCAACACTGGTACCCACAGGTAGACTCAACACTGGTACCCACAGGTAGACTCAACACTGGTACCCACAGGTAGACTCAACACTGGTACCCACAGGTAGACTCAACACTGGTACCCACAGGTAGACTCAACACTGGTACCCACAGGTAGACTCAACACTGGTACCCACAGGTAGACTCAACACTGGTACCCACAGGTAGACTCAACACTGGTACCCACAGGTAGACTCAACACTGGTACCCACAGGTAGACTCAACACTGGTACCCACAGGTAGACTCAACACTGGTACCCACTTAACTAACAATGTCAGGGGCAGGATGTGAAGTTTAGTCATCTCCTTACATCATCCGGCTGCCCCTGTCCACTTAGCTGCTAGGTCTGGCACTAAATAGGTGCTCGTGTGTACCTGTGTGCTGGTCTTGTTCACCTAGCACTAAACACTACAACACCCTCTTGACAGCCAGGGGTCTTGAAGACACCCAAGGGTCTTGACACCCAGGGGGTCTTGACACCCAGGGGTCTTGACAGCCAGGGGTCTTGACAGCCAGGGGTCTTGAAGACAGCCAAGGGTCTTGACACCCAGGGGGTCTTGACACCCAGGGGTCTTGACAGTCAGGGGTCTTGACACCAAGGGAGTCTTGACAGCCAGGGGTCTTGACACCAATTGGGTCTTGACAGCCAGGGGTCTTGACACCAAGGGGGTCTTGGCAGCCAGGGGTCTTGACACTAAGGGGGTCTTGACAGCCAGGGATCTTGACACCAAGGGGGTCTTGACAGCCAGGGGTCTTCATTAAAGTTCATAGCGTTTTCTGTCGTCCATTGGATGACTTGGCTGACATCCGCTTGGAGATTTACACGACAGTTTCCTCGATGGATGACACTGGTGCAGAGTCTGGTATCGCCACCAAAGGAAGATACGGTGCTGTGGTTTACACCTGACCTGGTATACTGTGGTTTACACCTGATCTGATACTGTGTTTCACAACCTCTATCTCTCTCTCTCTCTCTCTCTCTCTCTCTCTCTCTCTTTCTCTCTCCAAGGTAGGGCTTGTTTACATTGGTCAGCTGATTAGTGTTCCTAGGTGACTTGCAGGTATGTCATCTCCCTCCTCACCTGTGCTATGGTACCTCCCTCATCATCACCTGTGTTATGGTACCTCCCCCACCCTCACCTGTGTTATGGTACCTCCCCCACCCTCACCTGTGTTATGGTACCTCCCCCACCCTCACCTATGTTATGGTACCTCCCCCACTCTCACCTGTGTTATGGTACCTCTCACCCCTCACCTGTGTTATGGTACCTCCCTCACCCTCACCTGTGTTATGGTACCTCCCTCACCCTCACCTGTGTTATGGTACCTCCCTCACCATCACCTATGTTATGGTACCTCCCTCACCCTTACCTGTGTTATGATACCTCTCACTCCTCACCTGTGTTATGATACCTCTCACTCCTCACCTGTGTTATGATACCTCTCACTCCTCACCTGTGTTATGGTACCTCACTCACACCCTCACTGTTTATCGTACTCCCTCACCACATCCCTGTTATGTACCCTCACCTACTGGTTATGACCTCCTCACTTGTGAACCTCACTCACTACCTTCATCACACCTCTCACCATCACTCCTCACATACACCTCTCACCCACACTTACTACCTCCCTCACCCACCTGTTATGAACCCTCACCTCACCTTTTTATACCTCACCACACCTCACTATTATGTACCTCCCACCCTACCTGTG